TAGACAATGTCCAGCTCTGCTAGCTAGACAGCAAGTATTTGACAGCAAACTGTTCATAGATTACTTCCATCAGCAGAACAATTTAAGTTATATCAGAATAGGTTTTTTGCTGTCATGCTTCCCATTCCCAGACATCTTTGTAAAGTCTGCAAACAGAGATGCCAACATATCCTATTCTGACCTACATAGCAAACAATTGGACTTGTGTTCCTGCTGTGTTATCACCAAAATTAATCATTGTCATGTCTCCTCAAAGGCCTGGCAAGATGGAGACTTTTCTGCTGGGAAGTGTCAGCTGAACCCTGCACCTACTGCTCTCATGACACCAGCTGCAAACTTTGTGTTTATCACAGAAAAGAAAAACATCCAGCAGAAAAAGGCTCAGCTTTAAATTTTACTCTTTGCCAGGAAAAACATGGGAACAAGTGAAGCACAGCTCTGAAAGCTCTAGCTTATTAAATTCCAAGGACAACAAAAACAACAAAAAAAATTCATCAATCTTTTTTTGAAAGAAGTAAAGATGCTAGATAAAAACAAACCATACATTGCACAAGTCTGAGGAACAGAAATGGCCACGCTATAGCATTATTGTTCACTATTTCTGCATCTGAGAAAAAATTTCATAGATATGTCCTGCTGTTACTAGACTCAGGAGGAAAACAGTCTTGCTAGGAATGGGCTATGAAGATGGCAAACCATTCTTTGCATTCTCAGGCTTCAGAAGTCCCTAGGTCAGCTTGGCAATTAAAGGTTGCTATTGGCTTAGGAAGATTTACCCCAGGGGAAGTTGTCCCTACCAGGAGGGAACAGCTGGCAGTTGTTAATATTTATGGTCCTCTGCTGCAATGGTGGTGGGATCTAAAAAAGTGCAGGAGATTTGGGCTTGGTGTCTTTGAATCAAGGCTGCATTAATCTATGTGATCTGAAGCTTCTCTCTTACCAGCATTTGGAGCATAAAATTCTATCACTTATGCCTAACTGCCACATACTTGTAACCCTATACATGTGGGATAAAATTAAATCAAGACAAACAGAGATGCCTGTATTCTCCCTTTATAAATTATAAGGATAAAAAGCAAGTTTTTTGCCAGGACAGGGTTCAGGAACTTTGGATATCTAGCTAGAAAAAAAATTCTCTTCCCATTAGGAGATATCTCACAGAGTTTGTCAGATATCCAAAGTGTTATTTCTGCTCTCTTCATTAGAAACTGTGTTTTGTAAGTGATAGAGATATACTCTTCACAGACCACCATTTACTTAAACAAATAATTAATCATAAAGTGATTCTGGAAGGCAAGAATTGCTCCATCTCCAACCATGACTTGACAGCATTTGGTTTGACAATTTTTCTGTTTGGAAAATCTCCAAAGTTAAAAATGTTTGTTGGGTGAGTTCAAGCTGGCTGACACTGAGATTGGCTTTTTCAGGGGTTTGTTTTCTTACTTCTTTGGTGAGCTCTGTAGACTGGGGCATTTGGAGACCAACCTTTCAAAACCATTGCTCTTTGAAATGCATCCTCATTTCAGTAATCTCTGCCTGCATCTGAGAAAGGAAAGCACCCCACATGTTATTCTTTATCTTATCAAAGATTTCAACAGCACAATGGAACAGTAACTTACTGAAAAAATACAGAGGACATGTTTTTCTTTAGTAGTTATCTCATAGAAGAAATATAAAATTAATTGCTGCAACACAGTTCAAAGATTGAAAATACTGTCTTCATTAAAAAGAAGGACTAAAATCATAACAGCCTAATTGTAATGGGCAGAAGTGTTAAAGTGTGTTGCTAACTGTAAGCATTTGCATTCTTAGGATAACTGAAAATGATATTATTCCAGATTCATAAGCCAACTGCAATGCAAACCCTCTTAAACATGGGGGTTTTGAGCAGAACTGTGATCACCAAGGTCTTTAATGTCTCAACAAAGCAGATCATGGTCATTTCAAATGAGACCTTACTTTGCAAGCTCAGACATCAAGCAATTACAGCAAACCCTCTTTTCATTGGTGCCCAAAGATAATTTTCAAAAGGAAGAATTATGAATCCCCTAAAGATTCACAAAAGAATTCTATGTTTTAATTTTGGATAAAAAAAAAATCTCTGAATCTTATTTCAGTTTGGAGTTGGTAATGCTTCATTTTATCTACTGCAGTGGCTAAGTACTTAGCCTCCCATGTATAGATACTATAGTTTCTATTCAGTATGCTCTCTGAAATCCCATCCCTCTGTACAAGTAGTGCACCACTGGGCTACAGAAAATTAAGGCAGGAAAACTGGCTCAAAGAGACAAGGCAGTGATATTTGTTATTGTCAGACTGTTACATGTGTTATTGTCCCCTGTGCCATTACTTTTGATAATTAATCTAATAGTAAGTACCATTTGTCTGATTGCCTGAACAAAGCCTCTATGTATTCACCCAGCTCTCTCCTCCTGAAAATCTCTAGAAATCACTCCTAGAGAAGGACTTCAGAAAACCAAACTTCAGATAGAAATATTCAGAAAGAATGTAAGTACTACAGCTCTTTACCCCAACAATGCAACTTCTAACATGTTTACATTTTTTTCTGCAGGAAAGCAATGTCTTTCCTCTGTCCAATGTGAGAAAAGGAAATACAGAATTATGGAAATTGTTCCATCTCATGGAGTCAGCACCACAAATGAGAGGCTATGCCTTAGTAATTTCTGGGGCTTTTACCTCCCCTGTTGGGCTGTGAGCATAATACCTACAAGACATATTCTGGGAGTTGTTCCATACAAAATTCCTGTACAGGGCTGCACTGTTTACATTGAATACAAATCTGTATGCACAAGAAAGCTCAGCCTGGGAACAAAAACCTATCTCTGAAGTCATTCTGTGAAACAAATTGAACATGGTTTTCCCTGTAACAACAAGGGAAAACAGAACGAATCCTGAAGGGTAGAGCGCCTCCCTGCAAAAATTTGCTGGGATCTTCTGCTTTCTAATATAACAGACTGTGTTAAACAAGTCTCTTTACTGAGGAGATTTCCCAAAAACACATATTCTATAAAGGTGAGACCCATCGAGTCCAGCTAATTGATCCCTCTATGTGCCATGGGAAATGCAGTGTGGAGATTCAGTCCACACAAGAAATGAAGCAGTAAAAAAATTACACTGCAATGTGAGAGCCACCTTTTGAAAACTACTTGTTTCTTGAATACAGCTGTATTCACCATTGCTTCACAAAATACTAGGGGAAGTGGAATACTATTTTTTACAGGTCAGACACAATGAAAAAACAATGGGAAGTGTGAAAAGAAGCAGGGAGGTCCTGCAAAAGAAAGCAAACCAATCCTCTGCTTAAAGAAAGTATGAGAAACAGGTCTGCAAAAGCAGTGGATCAAGACTTTCAACTAAGAGGATTTATGGAGAAGGAGATTTTATCTCCAGGCACAGGTTAGCCTCAAATAAATCCTAACCCTTGTTTTAAACAAACTGACCCCAAGTTACCCATGATGTTTAGAAGAATTTAGTACAATTTAAAAGAGAACCTTGGTGGTAATTTTATGATAAGCAAGGGAAAGCATTTGGAAGAGAACTTTCCAGTGAACAACATGACTTTATTTTGAAAAGCTTCCTCATTGTTGATTCACCGTATCTCCAAAGCAGCCCAGGCTGGAAATCTTAAACTTTCTTCAGCTGAATGTGGCACGGACCTTTCACTAGTCTGTTTGCAAAATTATTTAAATGGAGGTTCTTTGTTTACCTTTTCTTTCTCCAAAGGTACAAAATTTTGTTAAGCAAAAATATAGCCTGTAACCCTGTAGAGTGTAAAAAATTGAACCTGCAGATTTGTTTCTATGAGAGAAGACTTTCTGTTCTAAGAACACATTTCCTCAATGACCAGCACAAGCATGGAGCAGAGTGAGGTTGTGACTGAGAGCCTGACTGCTCTAGACTTAGAAGTGACACAGCACCAGAGATGTGTCAGATCCAAGTGGGACAAGCTCTGCTGGCCAGCAGCATCCTGTACCACATTACTGCACTTGTGGAAGCAACAAGCTCCCAGAGACAAAGCACTGTGCCCTAAGGTGATTCTGCACCTGCATCATCATTTCTGCATGGCACTGTATTTTCTGGGGCTTTTCTGCCAGTGCAGTACACCAGTCTGCTACTCAAGGCCTCTTACTTTCCTGCAGAGCCTTTTAGGAATTAAGTTTTCACCAAGATTTAGTGTCATAAGGACTTTGTAAGCTGGATATGCACAGTGGCATATCAAAACAATCAGAACAATGAAGAGGACAACCATAATCCCCAGCTATGGCATGTTTGTAGACATGGACTGAGAGAATAGGATGCAGGGTAACAGGAACAAAAGGGACCTCAAGAATAATAAAATATCATGAACAGGTATCCACCTAAAATGCACAGATAGAAATGTGTGGCAGCCTGGGGAACAAGTAGGAGGAGCTAGAGCTCCTTGTGGTGTTACTACTACTTGTGCTGTGGGAATAACAGCTGTGGTAGGAGGTGCATGTGATGCATGGATATGAATTCCTCTGGTGCTTTCTATGTCAAGGAGCAGCTTGAACACTTGTAGTAGACAGTATTTTGATTGAGAGCATGTTCTAGGGACAGAAAAAAAGCCACTAAAAATGACAATGATGGGGCAGCATATTTCAGCCCAGCCCACCACAGTGATGGAGACAGTCAAGCACTAGAACAGTCTCCATCCTTGGAGGTTTTAAAGGTCTGACTAGATGAAAAGTCCTGGTCTGATCTCACAGCTGATATCACTTTAGAAGGCAACTGGACTAGGTTCAGAGTTCTCTCCCAGCGTGAAATATCCCATGATTCTAAGTCTACAGAACAAAACCCAAGGAAATGTAGCAATAAGTCTGTTTTGTGACTGCGTCTTCACAAGCATGGCACTAGGATGCTCAACCAGGAGTCAACTGTGGGCCAAGGCTGCAGATTCCCTGGATGTTATAGAGGAATGAGGAACAGTGGCAGTTGCAGAAGAACTTATTCCTGCAACACTTGTGAGCATCAAGCATCTAGGGAAATAAAAATAAAAATCCCTGGCAACAAACGTTAACTTTGAAGTTAATATCCCAAAGTGCATTTTCTCAGGACAAGGAACTTCCAAATATTTACAGTTTCCCTTACCATTTAGACTTGCACTAAAAAGTATTTCCAGTGAAGGAAAGGGGCAGAGGGGGCAAAACTGTCCTTAATTCACTGGTGTTCCTTACCTGTGACCTCCCAAACAGCCCCACCATACAATACAGCAGATTAGCACCAGTTTGAGAAGTAACTTACTGCCTTGCTCTTGCAGAGACGTTGTTTAGATGTTTCTGGAGCACATGAATGAGCTCTCAAATCTAGATCATAATCATAGTCCTTTCTTGACATACATTCAGCTCTTGTTTTCAGTGACAGATCCATATTGATGGTTTCTAAATATCTTACTGCTGCCCTCAGGAAATGATAATCATACCATCTCTCTTGATCTCATAAATACACCCCCTCAAGTCTTGGTTCTCTTCCCACAGTGGCTTCCGTTTCACTCAGCTCTTCCCCAGATATAACTCCTACTTTAGGGAAGCTCATGGTCAGCCCTCCACCTCCAGCTACAGCCTCTTCTAGGAAAGCTGCCGGCTGAGCTTATTTTCACCAATGAGGCTGATGCTCACAGCCTCTAGGCTTCAGCTCCCTGCTCACCAGCTCCCTCACCTAGCAGATATCTGAAAAAATAACCTGTGCATTCCACTGCTACAGCTCTGCTTTTGGCTTCCTTCTCATCTTTTCAGAAATTGGCCTGCAGCCATGACAAGGGTTCAGAACTATTCCCAAAAGGGACAGGCAGTCTAAACAGACAAGTGATGCTGAAAGGCGCTGCATGCACAGTAACCATGGTCTGCCCTGCCTTTTAAGGAATACTGAGCAGCTTGAACATCTATAACCATTTACAAATGAAGCCTGTGTTTCAGCATGACTCAACCACATACCCAAAATACAAAATTCACTGTTATTTGTCTAAAAGTGTCCTGTATCTATGTGTCAAAATTCCTATAAAATCTTTCCTACCTGTGTCAGTGGATCCCTGTGAATATAATGCAATTAAGTAAACACTGCCACAGTTCTGCTGCATGCTTCTGTCCTTGGTAACCAATATTCTTATTATTACACCACTACCCATTTGGTTAATCTAAAAAAAAGAGAATTCCAAAGTACTCAAGTACTGCCCTAATCTTCAAAAAGCTACATAGTCTGTTCCTGGGTAAACTGCAGACAATGCACCTCTAGGGTCTGTAAAGATTAAGGGAGCAGCAGGCTCCTTACAGAATCTGTGTCAAGCTTGCTATCAAAGCTTTTTTGCATCAATAGCAAGTTACAATAAACTTCATACTAGCCTCCAAAATGAAGTTCTAATACCAGGATTTAGGTAGAAAACTAAGTTTCAAAGTCAAGGCTCAATCTTGAAGAAGTTAATATGAGAATTAATTTCAGCAACCAAGGTAATGACTATGTGAGTCATTATTTAAGAAAACATTTATGAATCAGAAATGGACCCATATAAGTATTATTTTAAACTCTGAATAAACTATTATGGAATTGACTTGAAGGTCTAACCTTTCAGTTTGTCAACTGGTAGAAGACACTTTTCCTTGCCCAGTTTTTACAAGTACTTGGAAGTATGCATTATTATTGCCCATAGTATTTCCAATGAATAATGTATCAGAGAAAAGAGAAAACATACTTATAAATTGTTCAGATCACACCATTAGAAAAAAGTCTACACAAGACCATATCTCAGTGCAACATTAAAGAGTCTAAAAGTGCTGAAAATGAAAAAGTAATCATAAAATTGATGTTGCATTTATATGATTATCTCTGAATACAGTAATTTCCCTCATGGAATTTCTGTTCAGAATAAAGAAAACGCTCTGTGGAATTGCTAACACTGCTACCATTTAGTCTAATGCATGAGTGGCTCTCAAACTGGACAGGTGAAATATTCACAAATGTACTTTTAAAGTTTGATATTTGCCTGCTCTCCATTTACCATTTCCTTCCTTCTCTCTCTCTCCCCCTTCCTCTGAAAAGACTTCTTTTTAAGTGGATGCAGAGAGCACTCAATGTTTCAAGTCAATAAAAAGCACTGACTCTGCTGGCCCAACTGATCTGGAAGGGGGACCATCACTGCTCTCCTGAATATGTGAAAACCAAGGCAAGACTGGGGTGATTCTCTGGATCTCTGCACAGGACAGATCCCTCTGCAGGAATGCTTTCATGTCACCAGGTAGGCAGCAGCTTTGGGGAGAGTGATGATGCAAGAAGGGCATGAACCTGAAATACAGGTTTAAAGTGAAGCTGAAGGCAAAATAAGAAACAAGTGTGGGTGGAGACCAGTCCTGTGTAGAGAAAACAAATGAGAGTTAACTAAAGACATTTTAAATCAGGTGGTAAACACAAGAGCAAACCCACTTTTCCAACACAAAACAGTGGCACTACCCTTGGAGAGCTGAGGTGGGTGAGCTTTATGAAACTGCACACCCAACTATCCAATTCCATTCTCTTTATTTTGTCTTGGCACTATCTACACGAATGGAAAACAACTGCAAAAACAGATACATGCACTTGGGTTTTACTGCCTTCCAAAACACGACTGGATTGGAAACAATGGTTCCAACACATTCATCTTCCTTCAGACTGTGGTTTCATGGAAAGGTGGTTGTTTCTTGAGCTTTTAATTAGCATATCATTTGTATGCTAGCCAAGAGAATTCCCAAAGGCTTTTTCCCATACTGCTCCTGTCAGCCTTTTTTACAGAAGAGTGCCCATCTGAAGGCCACTTCCAAAATGCATCTGTAAAACTTACATTTGAATACTCTTCATTCATAAAACAGATGGAAAAGTGAGGAGTAAGGAGGAAAAAAATGTACAGAAAGAATGCAGACCTGTACAAAAATCATTAGGATGAAAACCAGAGATTGTTTGATTCTCCATTCCCCATATAGAAATATTAAAATTAATGTTCGTTGGACTGCGTGTCACATTCAATTCCTAAAACAGAATATTAGCTATTGTGTTTCTGTGCTTAAAGTCATTTTCCCACTGCTTTTTGTTGACTGCTTGCATTATTTAACTTTAAAGAGTCCAAGAGGCTTCTGATTGTTTCACTTCCTATTCCTTTCATCCTATTCTTCATCTTGCTGGAATTATTTTTTCCAAATGGTATCAGTAGAGCTGCCAGTCCCCAAGGTTCTTTATTGATCATTTGCTGAGTTTTATCTTCCTTCTGTAAAATCCAGGCACTTTCTCTGGCCATAGCTATAAATTTCTCCAGCTGTGGCTGATTAACATTCTTGCTGATATTAAGGTCTTGTTCAAAGGGATTCCAGATATAAAGAGGAGACGACTCAGGCTTATTTACTTCCTTTCCCTGCAGACAGCATAAAGAAAAAGCCAAAGTTGCATATGTACATTATAGGCTGAGCAAATAACAAACCACTTCAGCTATTACATTAGAATTAAAAGTGTTTTGACCTATTGGAGAACATTTTGCAAAATACCCAGTCATTATTAATCAAGTTAATTTTCTTGTCAACTTGACTGCATTATTCCTGTTCTCTGAACCCTCTTTCAAGGTAAAGAACACACAACTACAGGCTAACCTATCTTTCTGGCCATTCTCCCATTTGCTGTCCAACAAACCTCAGACCTCACTACTGCAACCTCCTACTCTTAATTCCACTTGTGTATGGGCAGCATCAGGGTGTCATATTAACCTGCACAGCTCAGTTTGATAAAACACTGCATGCACTTAAACTGTTCAAACCATTCCTCCCACACTGTTCAGAGACATCACAGTGCTGGTGTAAGTGGACAAGATTGCTTTGTTAGCTGAAATTCCTCCCAGTTTGGTCTGCTTTTAAGCACAGAGCTATTCAGGTCATGGTCCCCTGTTAGACACCTGGTATAGTACAACACAAATAGCTGACAAGTAGGTAGTTTGTTATTTAAATGCACTTCCAGCTCAGTGCTTATCAGTGTTTCTTAGCTGACTGGTTCTGTATAGCAGAACCTCTGCCCAAGCTCTAGCAGGAATCCACCAGCTCCTGCTGGTCAGGAGGTGTCTGTGTACACCTTACATACACTTGCCCCAGGGCCAAGAGCACTGTCAGAGGAAGAGCAGCAGCCCAGATACCTCCCCTGACTAGCTCAGGCTCCAAATATGTTTTTGCTTGCCTTTTTCAGGTTTAACAGCAAACTGAAGTTCTCCACCTAAATAAATCAGTTTCTGGGATGGATCTGCAAAAAGGGCTCTGTAGCCAGTGATCCACAATGCCCAACTAGGAAAGAGAACAAATGAGCATCCACACAGCAACTGGCACTGGAGCCCCACTCTGGAAGCAGCCCAGCAGGAACAGGAGTGAGTTATGGAGGTTACATTTCCATGTATTCCTATTACACCTGCATGCACACACAGATCAATAGGATGACTAAAACATACAAAGCAAACTGAAGAGCTAGCACAGAGTTACCATGCTATGGCATGCCTACTGAGCTGCAGCACGGTTACTGTAGGCTGATACAAACTGCAGGAGAAAACTGCAGTGTCAAAAGCATACCCAAAACTCAGCTGTAAGTTTTAATGTAGGCTCTGCTTGGGTCTGGACTCCCAACTTTAAATGCGAATTTTGTCAGCTCACAGGGCTTGTCACAGAGTTTTGCTATGACAGACATCCTGACATTTTAAAAGTTTTCCTCCCACAGAAGCAAAAGAACTTTGACTTTTTTAAAACTGCCACTTTTATTACAGGGCTTTTCACTAAAATCACACTAGCTTTGTATCAGTTTCTGCTTTCCAGCATATGCAAGCAATGACACTGTAAATGTTCTTAATGGTATTGTAAGTTACTGGGCTCCAAGAGAAAAACACTCCTCCTTCACAGAAAGAACTCTGTTTCCATATAAATGTTTTTTTATATATAATTAAAGATGATAGAAATTGTTGTATAGCATCTGCAGTTTGTCAAATGGCAGACAGAGAGATTCAGTTGCTAATGATGAGCAATTAAAATTCATTTACCTTTCGAAGATTTATGGAATTCTTTCTGAAGTCAAAGTTTCCAAAATATTCAAAAAACTCACTCAACAATACATCTAAGGAGAAAGAAAAACAAGAGCCATCAGTAACATTAAAGAAAAGTTTGTTTTCAATATGGTCATAAAATAAACAAAGTTATGAAGATCTACCTACCAAGTGTTTCTGTGTTTTTTGTAGGTTTAATCTTCATTAAATCACTAACAAATGAGCAATCATATCCTCCAATTATATGCTTGTCTTTTTCACCTGAAAGAAAAATTGTGGGCATATTTTGAAGTAATAAAAAGTTAAATACCATTCTATTTATAAAATTCAGATAACAAGCTGAAAGCAATGCTACCATACTACACAAATCAAATTCGGAATTCACAAGTGAACTTTTAGGTTAAGATTCAAATTAAGTGGTAAAAGATTTAAAAGAAAAAAGTCCATAGATGGGCAAAGGAAAAGCATCATGAGCAAATGGTACAATTTTAAAATCCTACAGGACTAAGATAAATGACATCCTCATATCTCTGAAAACTTCTTGTAAGTAACAAGCAGGGTATCTCTGCACAGAGGGCTGTATTACACACTTAACAGCACAACTCTCTGAGGTTACTACCTACATGAGGGTTTAAAAACAGATCAGCCCCAGAGCATTCACTGTCTTTCTCTGAAAAACTTCACAGAATTAGGAACACTCTTATAAATATCAGAACACATGTTTTATGTATAAACATTTCTACAGACTTCTGATGGAAATGTTTAAAATTGTTTTAAAGTAACTGAACACAGACCTTCTCCTCGACTTTGAGAACTCAAAATTTCCAATAAATCATGTCAATAAGCAGAACACATGAGTCAGGAATCAAGAACTTGGGGTGTCATTCTCAATGCTTTCATACGATTCACTGAAGATAACACACCCTGAGTGCTGTGTAAGAAACCTCTAGAACAGCTTGTTTGTGGAGATACAAGAGTTATTTGCAAGGGGCCTGAACAGTCTCAAGGATATTACAAATTAGGAGGAGAAAACACAGCCTTCTTTTAAGCATTTGGTAGCTATAAAACAATACACATCATATCATATCATCATATTTTGTGCAGTTAAGTGTGCATAAAATCTTTAATTCCACAAATGTTCAAGTCCCTACAAGTCTTCTAAATAACAAAATTTAAAAAAATTCAGCATAGGAGTACTGAACAAGTAAATTACATTTAATTAACTAAGGGACAGAATAAGTCTAACCCCTCTAAATAGAATTAGTATTGTATTGAAAAGGGATTTATTTTGCCTTTAAAGATGCATTATTTTCACTAAAAAACCCCATGTAAAACTTGTGTATCCCCTCAAACTTAAAACACAAATAATATTCATTAGTATTCGAGAGCATAGAGAAATTGCTTGGGTTTGTTTATCACTTTAGACAAAACAAACGTGCAATAAACAGTCAGCTGCAATAAACACAAAGAGCTGTGCTTACCTGCCAGTTCCTTGAGCTGGTCTAGTGTTGGAATGATAGGTGGCGATCTCCTCTGCAGAAAAAACATGACCATCATGGTCAGGGAGAAGTTTGTGATCCAGGTGCCAGGAGCACTGTTGGTGAGCCCATGGACACGGGCCCAGCACCGGATGGTGAACACCAAGGCTCGCACACGGGAATCGAGGCAGCCATAGATGTACAGCAGCTCTGAACTCCTTATTGCAATGCTGCAGAGCAAATGGGGAGACATGTAAATGATGAGAAAATTATAAAGTATCAGGTGCAGTATTCATTATAAGAGAAGGACACTTTCATTAAAAAAAAATTAACTTTTATACATTCTAAAAAATAGAAGAGAATCGTAGAATAGTAGAATGGTTTGGGTAGGAATGCCTGGAATTATCCAGGATTAAATACCTGGTAGTTTTTCACAGCAAGAATTATACAATTCTGGGTAAATAATATGCATTTGCACTGTTTCCTGTTTCCTCAATCCACATCACAGTGGGAGGGGAAAAAACCAAAAGAAAGAAAACACCATCAAGTAATGTGGAGCCAAACTATGCAGAACTGAGGCGAAAAAACATAATTCAGCCACAATTACCTCTGGTAAGTTAGATAATATCTCTATGCTAACATATAATAAAATACAACTAGAACTTCTTTTACTGCTTTTATCTAAAAGGTAGTAAAATGCTGCACTGAAAAATAATCTAAGTGCAGAGACACAATGAAATCCACAAAACAAGTCAGTTTGGTAATTTTCAAATGGTTAGTGCTTAGTCGAGCTGAAAAAAACAACTAATCTGGAAGGATAAAGGTTTTCAGATGGATCAGTTTTTGATCTCCTTTATCAGGCTGTTACACAACCATTCATGTATTGTACAAATGGGAGGGCAAGAAAAAGTAAAAAAAAAATGGAAGCAAATGAGAGCAAAACTTACTTTGGTTCAGTTTTAGCCTACAGTGCTAAAAGATATTCTAAAAATTCAGCATATCCTTTTGAGGATATTTACTAGGTCAAAATTTTGTAACACCTGGACTTCTTAAATTTCAGCTGTGAGATGCTGTAGGGTGTCCAGAGAGATGTGTTTCTAATAAAAATTATAACAAGGCAAGACATACAGTCCCAACCAGCCAAACTATCAGCAATGAGTTACAAGGAAGCTTGTACAGAACTACATGCTGACTTTCACTGTGGCTGCATATAGAGAAGTAATTTCATTGTAAGAAACTTGTTCAGTAATGCCTTAACAACTCCTGCATATTCTGAAACAGAAGTGTATCTGATCTGACTGTATCTGATGCAGAGAAGTCACAAAACTGCACTAAAACTCGTATCACAGAAACACAAAATAATCTGAGCTGGAAGAAACCCACAAGGATCATCAAAGTCCAACTCCTGGCCCTGAACAGGACAGCCCCAAGAGTCACACCCTGTGCTGAGAGCATTATCAAAAAGTTTCTTGAACTCTGTCAGGTTTGGTGCTGTGACCACTTCCCTGGACAGCCTGTGCCAGGGCTCAACCACTCTCTGAAAAACCTTTTCCTAATATCCAACCTGCATCTCCCAGACACAACTTTGGGCCATTCCCTTGGGTCCTGTCACTTTTATCCTGAAGAATAATCACTCATATTTTTCTATTCCCCAACAACAATGCAAAGGGTCAGTAACTCATTTTGGGCTATGTGCACTTATGCCAGAGCTGTTTACTGAGTGAGGGGGTGTTTCTGACTGTAACCCGGGACAGCAGACGCCCAAAGGGGCGGCGCGGCCATTCCCGTGTCCCCGGCGGCTCCGGGGGGATTCCTGGGCAGCCGGCGCCCCCTAGCGGGCAGTGCCGCGAGCGGCCCCGGGAACGCCGCGGGCTCCCCTTCCCTCCGGAATTCCCTTGGCGTCCGGGCATCTTCCCAGCAAACAGGGGCATGCAGGCCTTAAGAAGAAGGGAAGGACACCAAAATAACTAGAAGCAAAATCCCTAAAAATTAACATTCTGGAGCTGCTTAATCTGAAAAGCAATCAAGAAAGGCTGCACATGTGCCATGGGAAAGTAATGACTAATGAACACTGATGGCCTTCTTTCCTGTTTTATAAGCCAAACTTCTTTCACAGACTGGTTTTTGAGGCTTCAGCTAGCAAGTATTTCCTATGCTGGAGAAAGACAACTTAAAGCCAACAAACTCTAAACTCTAGAAGTCAAAAAATATCCTTTTTACTTTCAGAGCCAACATTCACATTTGTTAAGAACACAGAAAAGAGAAAACAGTTGATATTACAGGTTTTCTGAACATTCTAAGTACATCAGAACTCTCTGCAAACTTTTTAAAACCAGGTCTCACCTGTTGCTCACTGACAGATCACACTGGAATCCTGTTGGCTGATGGGAAAACTTCACCAGAGGGCAGCGGGCATTGAGGATCTTCTGCACATTCGCACACCCAGGACCAAAATTGTCAAGGCAGTCACCAATCACAGAGAGAATCCTCTGAGTTGCTAATCTTTCTGATGGTAATCTTTTCATCTGATACTCCATTTCAAAGGGACCTTTTTTCTAACACAGAATTTTAAAAGCAAGCTGTTAGCTCTCAAACAAAAGAGACATTTAAAGATACTTCTGAAAGACCACCCCAATTTGCAAAGGAGTTTGTACAACTAGAACTGAAAGACAAGAATTATTCAAAGCAGTCCACAGAACTTAAAATAGGTAAAAACATATCGCTCTCTCTTTTACATTTTTTTCTGGTGATTCAATTTTTCCAGGCTAATAGTGATCAACTTACTAGAAATCTACATGTTCAAACAGAAGTGTAATAGTACTACATCTCACTACTGGCTAAAAAAGGTAATTCTGGAATTACCAGGAGAGCATAAATGCTCTGACTGCCAAGAGAAGCATACAATTACAGAGGCACAACACAACCAAACGACCAATAATTTCAAACTATCAGTAATTCCATGTCAAACCCTCAAAGAACAATGCAATATTAGTAAATCAAGTAACTGTGTAAGGAAAAATGTCTTTTTAATTTTAAAAAGTAAAAAAAATCAGAATGCAAATTACTTATATAATTCAAAATTAAGATATTATTCTGGAAGACTTAAAAAAATTACTTCATGTCATATATAGTTTCCCTGAAAGAGAAAAATATTGTGAAGATACATTCTAACATCAGAAATTAACTTCTCTGTAGGTCTTTGTATTTTGATTTGCCATATTTGTAGTTTCTATCTCAATAAAATACCTGTGAAATCTCTGTTTTCTTTATAGTCTTGTGTTTTTAAGGCATCAGCTAGTTTTATTTGCTAATCCTAGACTTGACACTGACTTATCCTCCCCCTTGGAACATGCCATGGGTGAATGCATACTGTACAAATAAAATTACAGTGATGTAACAGTAACTGAGATACCGAGTGCATTACTTTTGTTGCCCACAAACCAGTGACCTCAGACAGGTGAAACAATTCAGAAGTTATGGACCTTGCAACCTTTCCCATAATGTCAGGTCAGGGGCTGAATTTCTGAGTCTCTCTGGCCATCACTGAGGTCACTGTTCCCGAGGGGAGTGGCTCTCCAGTCAGCTCCACGTGTGGTGGAACATGCCAGGACAGCAATCCCTAATCCCATCTGGCTGTGAGGCTGATGCTACACAGGGCTGGCTCTAAGTGAAAGGAGCCTGTAACCATCAACATCGAGGCAGTTAACAGGAAAGATAAAGATGGGTACTCAGCTGAGCTGTACGTGGGCGGTGTTTACATATTTGTGACAAAAACCACAATGGGCCTTTCCAGACAGGACCTCACTATTTCTCAAAAACTGAATGAGGACTCTTTTATAAAGTAGATATTCTTAGCAATTAAATGAACCTTCATATACTTATATACCTTCATGTAACTTTGGTGCTAGCTAGGGGCTATGAAGTACTGATAGACTTGCCCCAACCCTGTGGTTCTTCCCCAGTTCTTGTCATGCAGATGGAAACAGCAAATATGAAACTATTACTACTATTAAAAGTAACCAGTTACTTTTTGGTAAACTGATACAGTAACCTAAGCAAGAAGCACAACAGTTTAACAAAAACTGCTACTCTAAAATATCACAGACCCCTGTTTGAAGTCATTCAGTAATCTCCCAAACTGCCCAGGGGTTAAAAATACCCTATCTGTGGTCTAGCATCCACTCTTGGTAAATAAAGTTCCCACTTCTAACCTTTTCTTAAATTGCAATTAGTAATAAGTTTGCCATAAGGCTCAAAACCAGTTATTTAATGTAAATAGGTGCTGAAATGCCTGATACTCCTGGTTCCTGGCACCTCCTGAAAGGCTACAGAAGTGCAGAAATCAGAACACACCTTTTCCACTGCTGCTAAATCACCTTGTAACTAAAGCTACCTCCCCTTTGTCTCCCCAGAGTAATAAGTCTCTCAGCTTTCCAGAGTTAATATATAATAATGCTGCTCACTCAGCATCAAATACTCTACATTTCACAACAGAACTTCTATCTCCACACAGGATACATAAAAAAGCAAACAGCTAGTTATCAAACATACTTTGAAAATAGGCATTTTATACTTACAAGTTATTCCTTCAAAATTTAAGAGGCAACTTCACTGATTAAGCATAAAGATTTTAACACTTCACACACACATGACAATCCTTCTCTTCAGCTGACATTTTGCTTTCATTGTGATTTATCACTGCAGTAATACTAAAAACTATCTACATTTGATGGATTATTTCTTTAGAAGTAACTGACACAGCAATATACAAATTGTACAGAAAAGCTGAGAGAATTTTCAGTCTTAAAAGCTTAAGCCCATTGTCTTCTAAGGAAAAACTTAAAAGACAATGGTCTTAAACTTTTTTCCAACACTTCAACAGTTTTTCCTGACAGCTTTTCCCAACAGTTTTTCCCAAACTATCTGTCAGCACACAAGTAAAAAGAAAAGTTTTCATAAGAATCACTTGATTATTTATTCAGGATCTGTGACCTGTAAGCATTTACCATGACTATCCCACATCCTGAGCTCTCCCACCTGCACATACTAAGTATGTGCCTATAGATATATACACAGCCCAGTACACAATCCAGTAACTTTCCTGGAGCATAAAGCCATTTCTTTAAGGTAAGGAAAAGAACGTGACAATCCTGCCAAAATACAGATGTGCACATGCACAAACTTACTTTGCTTTAGGACATGGAGGATCCTAAAAAACAAAGCCAAGCTTTAACAGAGCATGGCTGAAACACAGAAGCTACAGAAAAGAAAACACGACAATAGAATGGGAAGGTCTTTTCAGAAGACTCTGCTGAAACAATTTTGGAGGATGAAGATTTTCTTCATAGTGAAATTCACCTTAACAGTGCAAAGTTTTGTAAACATCAAATAATTTTCTTTCTATTGCAAAGAACATCTCGTCCACGTCACAATCAGTTTTTGAAAGCCTTCAGATTGAAACATTCAAATAAACTTGTCACACTCTATTGTATGAACCCATTTAAAATTTAAATAAAAATAAACTGATTCCTGTGTGTGAAACAGCAAATGAGCTGCTCTGTTGAAGAAATCCAACAAACTGAAGAGGCACAGCACAATCTCACCATTTTTGTGGCATGCTCTGCTGTGTCACGGAAGTCCAGGAACATGTCCACGTCAGATCCCAGTTTGCCAAAGGTGTTGACTGAAGAGCCAAATGGCTTCACTGTGCTGTCAGGGAAATAGGCACGTGCAAAATCCCGAACCAAAGAGCAGGCCAGAAATCGCAGCCTGATGTTTTCCTCTGTCAGCTGATACTCATCCAGCAGAATGTACATCTGACTGCTTATCTAGTTCAGAAAATAAACACCATAAAAATACAATAACCCATCTTCTATTAACATATATTTTCATCTATTTAATATCAATGCAATTAGAAGGTTATTTTTCAAAACTTCAAAAAGGTTTCTTTCATACAGAAAAATTATTTTCATAATTAAAATGAATAATTTCATTTATTTACTTCAATGTAGGAGAACTACTCACATAAAATGCTAATATGTTACCATTTTAATAAAAATAAATAGCTTTATAAGTTTCACATGACCACTTGCAAATCTGAAATGAACATGCCTTATTTTTAATTAAGAGAGATCTAGAAGCCTCTACTTACACTGTCTGCAAGGCAAAGCTTTTCAATAAGGTTTTTCACTGGAATGTGACTCTGAGGAGAGAGGTGAAGTGGTGTCTCTTCAACGTGTTGACTCACTGGGTTTTTCAGTGTGAAAGTAAAAAGTCTTGATTTGAATGGGACAACATGATGCTCTGAAGCACTTGGGATCCCAACAGCATCCTGCAACGAGGCTATACTGCTCTTTTCTGAAAACTCTATTAAAGCACTGATGCCCTAAAACATTAAGAACGGAAATACAGGGTGAGATAAATGCATACAATGCTTGAACTCCTTGTACTGATATTGCTCAGATGCTCCTGGGGCTCCTGAGACAGATTAATATGACAGCCCTGAAGCCAAATCCTAGGTTCCATATCTCAAAACATTTTAGATGCTTTTCCACAAGAGATTAAAAGTATTTAAGATGTGCTATTCTTGGAAGCAAGCACTAAACATAAAAGGTCAGAACTATATTCATCTTCACAACTGAAATACTCAAGAAACACATAAAAAAAGAGCTGCCTCCACTGTCAGAACAATGAATGGTGCTATGTGAAAGTTTCAAAGATTTAGTGCAAAACAGGTTGCTGGCTATTCCTTAGAGCTGTTGCTTAGCTGACTTATGAATAAAAATCAACTGCTCAGCAACTTGTGAACATTAGCACAGATAAATACAGATTTAATACACCAAGTGTATATAATTTGGTAACTTAATGAGGCCTTAACCAAATTTTCTTTCTGGTATTTCTTTTCATCTAAGTCTAGATTTTAGTTGACATCATTAATTACTTACACGATTTTCAAAAAAGAAATGGCTCTTAACATTCCCATGACTGGATAAGTACTGCAATAATTTTTTTTCATTAAGTCTCGATGGGCACTTAATTAAAACAGTCCGTTCAGCTTGATCCAGTCGTTCTGCTTGGACTTCAGAAAACGTCTTCTTTCTGGTACTGACTTCAGCATCTGTGAGAAGAAACAAGCATCAAGGCTTTTCCAAGTAAACAGAAAGATGTGTGGCTAGTTTTAGTACATTTAATCCTTTCCTATGGATTGAACAACTGAACAAAGGTTTGTCCTGACTCTACAAGATCATGACAGCAAAAATGAAAAGAATGAAGAATGAATGAAAGAAATATAATGCATACATTTGTAATAACAAGGAGGAGGAAAGGTAGGAAGAAAACAAAACTGACTTCCTTTGGTGCACAGGAAGTTTCATAATACAAGGAATTTTTTATTCTTTAATTTGTTGCTCACCATAAAAAACTTAGCACACCCATAAGAGATAGGAAATGCCAGCTAGGCAGTGAGGCAGCTCTAGACCTTTGGCAAGCTTCACTGAAATGAGAGTCTCTCTTAACTACCACAAAACCAGCACTTTGGAACAATTCAACACTTGCTATTTTTACAACTCAGCACCTTCCTTTACGGTAAACGCCCACTCAAAATTTTCACTTAATAATACAATTTCATCTACTACAATAAACCCACAGAGCAGTCATATCTCATCACACTACTGGCAATCTGTACTGCTGCTGACAGCCTCCAGAATTCACATGGAATCGAGACATGCTGAACATCCAGAAACATGGAACCTTTTTCCTCTTTGCATACAAAGGGGCCATCTCCCACATCTGAAATCATGATCACTTCCCTGCACAGCTTTCAAATAATCCACTGACCACATCACATCAGCAGAGTTCATGAAGCTGTTGCCTGTTAATATTTCCCTTTTGTCATTTGGATTGGGAAGCTGGGGAGCAATTCCCAGCAGCTACCATGTGCCACAGGGATATTCAGCAGAGAGCACTTTATTCTGCTTTTGGTTTTGAAGAACCCATGGGATATCGTGGCCTCAAGAAAACCTTTAAGTATCATTACATGATAGTTGTTAGTATTACTTGATAGTATTTACTTTTTAAAAATCTTTAATTTTATAACTTTACTGAGCTCTCACAATATTATTTACTGTTGTAAATAATAACCACAGTAGCTCTTTCCACAGCCAAGTTTTATACTAGCATTTTTTATCAGAAAACTAAGGAAACACTTTATGAAGATGATAAATATCACAGTTTCCATGGAAACAGAGAAGGATGAAGTGACCAAGATTGCAAAAAAGAAAAGTCCCGTGGATGGATGACAGGGACCTGCATTAGGCCAGAATGGCTGTGATTTTTGCCTGATTTACTACCTGTAAATGAATGTACATGGCTGTGCATGCTTAGCCACTACAGAGGTGTGATCTCACAACTTCTGGCTCTGCTGTCCTTTGCACAGTCTGAGCATGGCACTGATGCACAGCAGCAACAGACACCCTCACTAGTTCTCGGCTTGTACTAAAGACACTAAAGTGCCAGTCACACATTTCCTATGCCTTTCTAAGGGGTCTCTCGGGATGAGCCCCGTCACTCGATTCACCTCTAGCCGCTATCTACATTTAACAACCCGCGTCCCGGGCACTGACAGCGGGCTCTGGCCCCCTGGGCTGCAGCCCCGGACGGCACAGGCCGACCTCACGGCCCGGCCAGGCTGCCCGGGCCCTGCGGGGCTCCTCACGCCCAGGACGCGGGCGCTGCCCCGGCGATGCCGGCGGGGCCGAGCGGGTCAGGCGGCCGCTCCCCTCCCCACGCCCGCGGGCACCGCCGGCTTTGCGGCACCGCGGCGAACGCAGCGAGGCCCGGCGAGCCGTCCCTACCTTCCCCCAGCTCCTCGGCAGCCGGCTGCGCGGCGGCACCGGAGCGGCCGAGCCGGGCGTGCCCGCGGGAGCCGGGCCCGGGGAGGCGCAGGCGGCCCCGCAGCAGCGCCATGGCCGGGCCTCCCGCGCGGAGCGCCATGGCCGGCTCGGCCGCCCCGCTCTGCGCAGGCGCCGCGTTCCACGGCGGCCGGCGGGGCTCAGCCCGCTCCGTGCGCGCGGGAAGGGCTGCGGGTGCCCAGGGGGTTTGAGCGTTTCGGTGGGAGGGAGCAAAGCTGAGCGGGAAGCCCGGGGTGCGGGCAGTGCCCGCTGCGGGCAGGCGGGACAAACAGCTGCCAGCAGTGCCCTGGGGCCAGGAGGGCCAACCCTGTCCTGGGGGGGCATCAGGCACAGCATGGCCAGCAGGGCAAGGGAGGGATTGTCCTGCTCTGCTCTGCTCTGGGGCGGCCTCACCTTGAGGCCTGTGTGCAGTTTTGGGCACCACAGTGTAAGAAGGATGTAAGGCTTTTAGTAAACATCCAAAGGAGGGCAACGATGATGATGAAGGGCCTTGAGGGGAAGACTTAAAAAGAGCAGTTGAGGTCACTTTGCCTGGTTGTCTCAGCCTGGAGGAGATGGAGGGGAGACCTCATAGAAATCAACCGCTTCCTCGTGAGAAGAGGAAGGTTGGGCACCGATGTCTGTGGTGACAGAACCCGAGAGAATGGCCTGAAGTTGTGTCAGGGGAGCTTTGGGTTGAATATTAGGAAAAAATTCTTCACCCAGAGGGTGGTTGGGCACTGGAACAGGCTCTCCAGGGCAGTGGTCACAGCAGGAAGCCTGAGAGTTCAAAAAACTTTTGGCCAATGCTTTCAGGCTCATGGTGTGATTCTTGGGGTTGTCCTGTGCAGAGGCCCAGGAGCTGGACTTCAACGATCCTTGTGGGTCTCTTTAAACTCCGCAGATTCTGTGATTTTGTGAGGTTCCCAGGTCAGGCTTGAGGTGTGGGTGTTAGCAGCTGCCTGCCCTGTGTGAGGAAGCACCAGCAGCCCAGGCCAGGGCTGGCTGTCAACCCCTGTGTGAGCCCTGCCAGCCAAGGGCAGGAGGCTGAGGGTGGGCATGGGGGTGAACCTGAAGGGTCAGATGGCCAAGGTGATGGGGGTCTAATGTAGGTTTTGGCAGACTGACTTAAAAAAGGGAAGTAAAACTTTGGCCTGTATCAGCAATGTCCAGTGGGGCTAGGGAAGTGTACTTGGCACTGGTGAGGCCACACCTTGAGTGTGCCTCAGTGTGCCCAGTTCTGGGCCCCTCAATTCAGGAAGAACATTGAGGTGCTGGAGTGAGTCCAGAGAAGGGCAGCAGAGCTGAGAAAGGGTCTGGAGAATGAGCCATTTGCGGAATGGGTGAGGGATCTGGGTTGTTTAGCTTGAATAAAAGGAGGTTGTAGGCAGGTGGGGGCAGCCTCTTCTCTCAGGTAACCTGTGACAGGACAACAGGACATAGTCTTAAGATGGGCCAGGGTAGTTTTAGATTGGACATTAGGAAGAATTTCTTCACAGAAGGAGGGATTAGGCATTGTGATAGGCTGCCCAGGGAGATGGTGGAGTCACCATCACTGGAGGTATTTAAGCAAAATCTGGACATGGCACTCAGTGCCGTGGTCTAGTCAATGTGGTAGTGCTTGGTTGGACTTGATGATCTCAGAGGTCTTTTCCAACCTAACTGATTTTGTGATTCTGTTTGTCTGGTCCTGGCCAGGGCTGTGAATGCAGAGATACTGCTGTGAAGGCAGCCTGTGGGATCAGAAATGAGGTGGTTGGGGCAAAGAGCTGCAGGGCACCCAGCAAGCAGTCATTGGTCTGCAGCATGGCTCCCCGGGCATGTACTTAAGAAAACGTCGTTTTCTTTGGTTTTTAAAAATATCTATGTAAAACTTGTGGGCATATCTGTAGTGTATGTTAGGGCACTTTGTGTGTTAGTAGGTCTTCAGTGCAGTGCTGTATATATTTGTGGCAGCCTCCCAGTAAGTCAGGGTCTGTAAGTAATTGCTATGACCTAATTATTTTGGTTTTGTATTCTAGGACAATCATTAAGACAGAGAGTGGATTGCTTTTAAAATAGAGCATTTCAATTTAGATCCTACTTATGCATGCCATGGAGTACAAACTTGTGTTTCCTCCATGTCTCCATGGCAAGTTTCCTCTGGAATCCTAAGACTTGTCCTGCCTAAATTCATTGATGTGGAGAGAGGACCTCCTCCTCTTTCCCTCTTTGAAGTTGGTCTAAAAATAGAAAAGGGTTTCATTAAAATTAATTGTGGGTTTGGAAAAACCAATAGCACAAGCAAGTTCCTGAAAGAGGATACCCAAAGTGCCCTAGCGTGAGAGCTGCTGCACGTTAAGGATGTGTTACTCAGCCTCCTTAACCTCCCACTTTTAGGGTGCTGCCAAATCCGCCCTCTCCTTGGTCTGGCCTCTCCTATAGCCTCATTTATCTTCAGTCCTTCCTCTCTTTTTTCTTTCTATAATCATCTTCAGCTTTCTTGCCTTTTTTTTTTTCCAGTTTTTTTGTTGTTGTTGTTGCTGTTTTGGGATTTTTTTTATAGCAAATGCACTGGGTGGTGCAATTGAACAAAATCAAACTCAACAAAGAAGACACCTCTTTCCTTATGGAGGCTTGCCAATGTATTTAACAGCTGTGTAGTCTGGAAAAGAAACTGTGTATGAGCAAAGTTAACCCTGCTAGCAGGGTTCCATATACATAGTTAAGATGCTAAGGAAAAGAAAATCCTATAGTGAGTCTAAACCCTTGCACATTCCAGAATGTCATATGTGACAAACTTTGGACAATTGTGAATGTCCCAGGAGAGGTAGCAAACATAAACCATTTAAACAAGAGAGTCAGGACATCTTGATAATATAAAAAGAGTTGTATGAACTGCTAAGAAACACTGAAGCCTAAGGTGAATGTTTGTCCTGAAACTTTATAATGATGGTTTTGCCATTGACTTCAGTAAGCAAATAGTCATTACCCTGCAGATAATGAACCAAAAATCCATCTTGGGTCTCTTGACACCTTGAGACAGATTCAACTCATCAACTGGTTTTGTTAAAGTTTCTACTTGTCTCCTTAAAGACGAACTGACTGAAGAGGAGCTATTGGGCAGCACAGTTTTGCAAGAATTTCTTCCTTATGGATAAGAAATAAAAAGTAGTCGTACCCAATTTTAGCAGTTACCCAACTCACACTGTGTCCCGGAGTACTTTAATACTACTGCCACTAACAAATTCTTCACGTTGTTGTCCTAAATTCCGCCCGCGTGTCAGCTGAAGTTTAATTCAGATAATGTTTAAACTCGTGGGACGCTGGTGACGCCCTCTAGGTGCGCATGGAAACATGAGGTGTCGGGAAGGGATTTCCCGGTGCCACCGCCGGGGACAGGCCATTGCCGATGGAGAAGGAGGCGGTCGCTGGCCGGGCTTGAGGCCGGGCTGGGACAGCGCAGCCCTTGCTCCCGCCGGGAAACCGAAATAGAAAGCGGCGCCGGGGCCGGCCCGGTCCCCCGCCCTCGGAGGGGCGGGCGGTGCTACCTGCGCCCTCGCCCGCCCCCGGAGCTCCCCGGCACCGGCGGAGCGGCGCGGCTGCGGGCGGACGGCGGCGCGGCTCTGCGGCGCGCCGGGGTGAGCGGGGCCGGCAGGGCAGGGGGGCCCCGGCGGGATGGAGCGGAGCGGGACGGGACGGGGCCGGACGGGGCTGCGCTGCCGGGTTCGGGCTCCCTCGCGGCTGCCCTCGGCCTCCCTCGCCGTGTGCCGGGGGAGCCGGCGGGGCTGCGGCACCTGCGCTGTCCCCGGGGCTGCAGGGCAGGATCGGGCTGGGGCTGGGCTCTGCTGCTGCTGCCAGCGCCGGGAGAGTCGCGGGTTTTCTTATTCCAAGTGAATATGTGAAATGTTGCTGAAATTGAAATTGTTGATATTTCTTGTTCCTTAGCAGTAGAAGTTTCTTTTCAGAGGGATTGTGTTTTTCAAGTTCTGTTGATAAGTTTTCTTAAAAGTAAATAAGGACTTTTTTTCGTTTCTAGTGGGCAGTCACTTGTCACTTAGACCAGAAAATTATTCTCTAAAAGCAGCACAAGAGATCTTTATTATGGGTGTATGATTGTGTTGAACCAGTCTGTGCAGTTAGTGGCTAGCTTTTTTTTTTGGGGGGGGGGGGGGGGGGGGGTAAGGGGTGTTGAGGTTTTTTGTCTGTGTGGTCTTGGTTTTTAAATTTTATTTTTATTGTAGATTTTGTTCAATTTTTTCCATCATTGACCTTTGATGCACAAAAAGTCTCGCAGGGGCTCAGGAGTCTGGTACTCTTATTTAATATGGATATAAGAGTAGTCTCTGGCAGCACACTTCCTAGGCAAAAGGGGTTGGAAAGCTACGCAGAGACTAGAGAAATAAACCTTTGACTTACAAATTACTCATGTGGTGATGTTGAAATATTGGCAAAACTGGAGAAAGAGACTTGTGCTTTAGCAACTGACTTAAGTGCTTGCATGCATTTTTATTTTTCCACTGCAAGTAAACCCAGTTTTTTTAGCTGCAAATCTAAGTAAAGCATACTTACTGATGTAATTTCTTCATTAATCTAGATTATATAGGATGATTTAGAATACTACATGAGTGCCCACCAATAATACTAGTACAGAATTTTAGAGATAAATAGGAGGAATTCCGCATTGGAAAATGGACCTTTTTTTTTTTTAGTCTGTAGAGGAAGTATAGTACAGTATAATACTTTTATAGTCTAGACACTGCTTTTATTGTGTAAACATTTAGTGGTTAGAATTTGCTAGATATAGGGAAAAATAAAATCATTTAGGTTGGAAAAGATCTGTAAAATTATCGAGTCTAACCCAGCACTGTCAAGCCCACCACTAAACAGAGTCATGTCTACATGTATGTCTTTTAAATCCCCCCTGGGATGCTGATTCCACCACTTCCCTGGGCAGCCTGTTCCAGTGTTTGACAACTCTTTCAATGAAGAAATTTTTCCTAATATCCCACCTCTCCTGGCACAACTTGAAGCCATTTCCCCTTGTTCCATCATTTGTTATTTGAGATAAGAGACCAGCTCCCACCTCACTACCTCTTCCTTTCAGGTAATTGTAAAGGTGAAGGGTTTGCACCTTTTCTCAAGCAGTAAAAGAACTGAGAATATGCAGGTTATAGGCACTTTTTCATGTTTTTCAGAACTTTTTGAGTAATTGTGAAACTGCCAAGAGTATTATTAGTATTGTGCTCCAGTTTGGGAACATTTTGAGGAATGAAGCAGAGCTGGCACTTCCAGAAAGCTACATTTGGTCTAATCTGTACAGATGCTTTGTGCATGAAAATGCTGTCAGGGAGTAAATTAGTTTAACTGTGGCACGTATTTATCTTTATCCACAAAAGACCAGAGCATCTAGAGGCTCATGTTTTTCTTCAGAAAGTCCCTCAGGACTAGTTTGTAACTTTACCTGACTTTACACATGAGGTCTCTTGGTTCCTTTTATGACAGCACTGTTTCTTTTCATTTGAACCCCACTAATTCAGCATTAAAGGAAAAAAAAAAAAAAGAGAAAAAAAAAAAAGAACCCTAAAAACCAACAAACCAATGAATATACGTCCTGATCTGGGGAATATTAAAAATCTCATTTCTATTGAAAAATAACCACGTTCAAGCTTTGTTAACAGCCTATAGCTTGGTCATGGAGCAAGTTGAGGTGATAGGGGCTAGAAAACACCCACAGCATCTTTTCCTTTCTGTGATCTCTCTGAGCAGCCAGGATACAAAGCCTGGGGCCTCCCCCATCAAGTAGTGCTAGTGACCACAAAGTTTCCAACCTGGCTGCCCTTGTGCTGGGGGTGTGGGTTGATTAGGGCTGGGTGAACTGGTGTAGAGTGCTGGTGAAAGTCACTGTATCCATCTGGGGAACGGGGGCTGGCAGAGCGCTGCTCTGCCACCAGCACTCTCAGGGTTTGGGTCGGAGTTTGAAAAGGAATAGGCACTCCGTTTCCCTTTTCTGATGCTGCATCTGCTGTCCTCTCCTGCCTTTTGAATTTTCAGCACGTGGTCTGACTTCTTTGCCAACTCAGACACGTCATTTTACTTGGTTTTCTTCACATTAGAGCTGACGTAAATACTCTAACCCATGAGAAATATGTGCCACAAAGTTTCTACGTCCTTGTGGTGGGGATGAGAAAGATAGTGATCATAACCAGAAACTGTACCTGGGTAAACACATTGCTCCATGGCCTCAGGGGACCGAGTCTGCTGCTTGTCCTTGAGATAAGGTTTTGTTTGCTGTTTTTCATTTTCCCTTTTTTTTTAAAGTGTCTTTTTGCCTAGTTGTTATCTTTTGCCCAAAATAGATGGTGCAGTGGATTACGAAAAAGGGAAGTGAGAACTCTCTAAAGAGGGCATGCTGTAGTCAGTTCTGCTAAAGGAAAAGGAGGTCCTACTCTTTGCTTAAGCAAGCATGAGACAGAGAGAATAAAACTGAGGACCTAACCATGGAAAAACTATTTTTCACTACTACTTGGAAATCTGGATGATACAGTAGCTTGATTCTTTCTTGAGTTGTCATTGTTTTCTGCAGAAAAATCCCCTGTTATCTCAGCCTTGTGATTACTAGCTCTTCTTTCCATGAAGCAAATGAGTACATATGAGTACAAACCCGTCCTTCTGCTTGAGCTGGTATGCAATGGCTTTATTTGTTTTGCTTTTTTTTAATAGACTGTCACAGAACACTGTGAAATTATCATCAGTGGTAAATACGGGTTCAGAAAAACGTGATGACTTCAGGGATTCTATTGAGACCTTTTTAAATGGTTTTGAGTGATGTAATCAGGTTAAATACAAGGTAAGTGCTCTTGTCATTTATGTGTTGGAAACTATTTGTGTCAGTATTTTAATGACTGACCATGTATACATTTTTAACTTGAATATGTAACTCTCTGGAATAGAAAGGAACTTTTGGGGAAGTTGAACCCAGCTTGCTGTAAATCCATCCCAGCAAAATAGTTGCAACAGTAACCTAAAAAGTTATTGTTAGGATTAGTGGGAACAGAACAAAGTGTTGGAAACCACTTCAAAAGCTCATTGCTTTTATGATAACTCAGTTTCTGACTTTCTTCTGAAAGTCAGGGTGAAAATTTCAGTTCAAGTCTAGTTCTGATCAGTTAATTGCAAAAAAAAATATGGATCTTGTATCTCAGGTGGTGACAATTGTGCACTGTTCAATGATACTAACAGATGCCTATTACTAGTGGAATGACCTTCTTTGTGACCTTTCCTTCTTTCTGGATACATCACATAAATTGTCAATACAAACTTAGACATAACTAAATGAGAATGTTAATATCTCTCTTTGTCATTCTTTTCTAAACAATGAATTCCTTTGTTTGTATTGAGGATGCTCCTTCATTTTTGCATATCTATCACAGTGGTGTATTCTTACTGTACCTGTTCCTCTTAGGGAAAGCTTTATCATAAAAAAATCTGAGAGTGAGTGACAGGGGAGATTAACTAGTAACTTCTAAATAAATTTGACTAGCAAATACGTCTCTGTTTTGTCTTTGCCCAGGATCCTAATTATGATTTTCTTCATAATGCAAGTTATTAATGTTAAATCTGTATAATGATGAGCTGCTGGTCACTTCTGATAACTCCTTTTCATTCTTACTTTGCTAAAATAAATGTAGGTGAAAAGTGTTTTCAAGTTTGTTTCTTTTTTTTCCAGGAGTGATTTTGCAAAGTGGACAGTAATGGAGTATATGAGCACGGGTAGTGATAGCAAAGAGGAGATTGACTTGTTGCTAGCTGATCTAAATATGTCTGAGGTGATAGCCATCATGGAAAACCATTATCCAGGTGAAGACATTGCAGTCTATGAAGACAGCTTAATTACCATGTGTGAAGAGGCAAATCAAAATGATGAACGTGCAGAATCATTACTGTTTTGTGAAGGGGAGGTCTCTTTGATGTCCTCTGTCAAATATGGGACTGTGGAAGACCTGCTTGCTTTTGCCAATCAGGTGTCTAACACTGCAAAGCAGTTTAAAGGATGCAGACAACAGGAATCTGGAATCCTCTTGAATATGGTATGTACATCTGTTTTCCTTTTACTTGGCATTTCATAGACTGTAGGAATTAGAAGTTTTTAATGATTCTAAATAAAGCTCAGCTCCAGAAGTAACAGGCTGGGGTTTCCTGTGCAACCCTGGGGCTGGAAGGGATCTCTGAGCCTATCAAGTCTAGCCCCTGCAGTCTCAGGCAGCTATGGAGAAAGGTTTGTTGTTAAGAAGGATCCACTCTGTTATCTCGTAGTGTCCCTGGAGGTCAGAAAACATTTCCCAGTGTTGAATACAAATTTGAGACAAGCAGTCTAAAAGCAAAATCTACAACTCATTTTGTCCTTTTGGTACTTAAATGGGGCTTATAAAATCCACAACTTGCATAAAAAAGAGACAGAGTGACTTTTTAGAAGGGTGAGTAGTGATAGGACAAGGAAGAATGATTTTAAACTAAAAGTGTAGAGATTTCTTTACTCTGAGGGTGGTAAGGCACTGGAACAGACTGTTCAGAGAAATGGTGGTTACCCCATCCCTGGAAGCGTTCAAGGCAAGGCTGGATGGGGCCCTGAGCAACCTGACCTAGTGGGTGACATCTCTTCCCATAGTAGGGGACTTACAGCTAGATGATCTTTAAGAGCCCTTCCAACCCAAGCCTATCTATGATTCTATGGACTATGATGGTTTACAGGTCTGGGAGACAGTAAGTCTTCTAGTGCCTTGTATTCATGAGTAAAATATTCATTATGCAAACTCCCAAGAATAAAGATCTAGGATCTGACAATATAGTTCCTAAATTTGCTCTATCTGCACAAAATGTCAATAGTAGTCATCTAAGGAGAAAAAGCACATACTATCAAGTGTGATTTTAAGAGTTACAATATTAGGTAATATCTCACACTGCTGAATTCAAGTAGATAGATGTGTTGTTTTGGAATTTTAATTTTTTTCCCTAAAATTGTTTGTGTTCTACAAGCATCTCTAGATATTAGTGTTATTAAACTTTTGTTTAAGATGAGTTGCTCTGGAAACAATCAGTGTTGCAATGGAATTCTGTTCATGCATGTTGATGTTGCTGCTGTATTTTCCTAAGATACTCTACATTTATCTTCTTAAATATCCTGTATATCATATATTTTATATGTAAACACTGGTTGCTTGAGGCTTACTGGTTACTTAGGTGTAAAATACCACAGGGTATTGCTTTATTCTGATTTGGAGGGAGCATTGCAGTATTGCAAAACAATCACTTTTCAACTCTGTAACATTGAAATGACACTTAGTAATATTAAATGTTTCCTATGCTTAGGGTAGACACTGTTCTACATACTCATGGTTGTTTTGCTTGCATATTGTTTCTACAGATGCATACAATTGGTATGAACCCAGTACTATTAGGTGCACGTGATCCCATTATGCAACTGAGGGTTGCAGGCAGGGTATTACCTGTGCATGCATTTCAGCAGGGGCACTGCTCTGGAAATTCCCACAGCATTTGGTTGGGGTCAGGAGTGTTTCTGACTGCCTGGTGACCCTCACTGGCTGCACCATGGCTTGCATCACAAAGGGTCTTGAAGTGCACAAGATGGATTTCTTTTAGTTAAAACTGAACTGAAAGATGCATTGCAGCCACAGACAAATGTTCACAGGGTCAGGCTAGGAACTAGTCCTAAAAGCCTCCTGAAAACATGAGTAATGTGGTGGTTGTCGCTGTCTTGCTCTCCAGATCAGCTCTGCTCAGCGTCTCTTCCTTTCCAGGATAAGGTGTAACCCATATGGATTAGTTTCAACCCTTTGAAGTGCAGAAGTAGGCAAGCAAGATGTACAGATTGTTAGACAGGTACAAATTGCATTACCCTGGCTCTAATAAGTAGAGGGAAGGCTTGCTCTCTCTATCCTGAGCAGAATACTTTTTATTGAAGGACAGCCCCCCATGCCCCCTTGGCCAAAGGTTAAGAACTTATCCTCCCCAGATTTAGGAACTTAGAAGAATTAATTTATTTCATGTTGCGCCAATCACAAATGACAATTTTAGCAGTCAAGAAGGTACTCTCCTAATTGAAAAGCATGAAAGTAGACTAAGAGTGAAAGATAATATGCTGCACCTTAAATAGAAATCTAAAACAAATAATCTTCCTGATATGCTGCTATCTTAAAAAGAGCTGCTGAAGAGCTGAGTATTTGAGGCTGTGTGACAGACATGCAATGATAAATATCCTTGATGTGATTTTACATCTCTTCAAGAATCTTAATAAAGTAGCAGTAAGGAGATTAATGATATTCCAGATACTGGCTGAAATAATTAGAAGTATATTCATAGGAAATAATATTGATTTTGTAGCTGAGAGACTGAAGAAGCAACATGAGGGATCAAGCAGTAGTTGATGGCTGTAGTTGGGTGTTTGGCCTCTCTCTGTCACGTGCAGAGGGAGGGAACTGTTAGGGAAAAAGATTTAGAGCAAGATACTGACCTAGGTGCCCTGAATCCCCTCCTTGCCTAGTTGGTGATACACAAGAAGCAAAGCTCCCAACATTACCCACCTAGAGGAGGCAATGTTACTCCCACTCTTCTTTTCTAAACTATGGTATAAAACTAGAGGAAAGTGGCTGGTAAAATCAAGGCAGACTTCTTTGACCTTTTACTAAGCAGCAGAAACTCCAGTACAAGACGGGAAATTAAACTCCTAGCAGTACATGTGATATTAGGAAATGCTGAAACTCTTGCTCACATTGTGTAAGATAACCTATGAGTAACAAGTATGTGGCATAACAAGTTAACAGATTACAGGAAGGACAAACATGTGCAGGTAAATCTAATAACAAGAGGTGGGTAATTTCATTAACCCAGCTGCTGTTGTTGTTGTTTCAAGACAATTAATTGCAACTTACACTTCATAAGTTAGTCACTGGAGAGAAACGTGGATGCCTGGGCTGTGAATGAATGCCACACCTCACATGCTGTTCCCATTTAGTGTTACTAAATAAAGACTGCTAAGCAGATCATGTGCATCACACACATAAGTGATATGGGGTTTTCCCACTATATATATAAAAAATAAATTAGATTTGTAATGGTTTTAACTTCACTGTGTTTTTTTGTTATTTTTTTAACTCCCCAGATCACACCCAAGAACGGGCGCTATCAAATTGACTCGGATGTGCTCCTGTTTCCATGGAAGTTGACTTACAGGAATATTGGTTCTGATTTTATTCCTCGGGGAGCTTTTGGGAAAGTGTACTTAGCCCAAGACAGAGAGACCAAGAAACGAATGGCATGCAAATTGGTATGTTAGCTCAGTGGTTTTATCTCTGAGCAAATATTGTATAACATACTACTTACGGTCTCTTTTCAAATATGTCTGCATCAAATTCCACTGTTGGCTGATGATCATCTTGGTTTTGTTGGCTTGAACAAGGTGGAGAAAATATACACTTCTGTTAGCTTGTTTAAATTTTTTTGCTCTAAAGCTGCAAATGTTTCAGCATTTTGAAAGTTATCTAGAAGTGTGTGGAACTGGCACATGGCCTGTTGTGCAGAGTGGATTTTCTACTTGTCCTGCTGGGGTGAAATATCAGAGTGAGACCATGTCCCTGCTGAAGGAGCTAGTAAAACCCTGCTGCTGCAGAAGTTTTAGGCTCTTGTTCTTTAACTGAGGTGCTCAGACTTCAGTTTACTCCAGTGCCATTACAGTCCCTGAGAACTCAGTATGTGCAACTCCTACTGTGTTTTGGGCACTGATGGGGTTAAGGTTGTGAGATGCCTCAAAAGAACTGCTGAGCGCTCTCCTACTTTTATACAAGCCAACATTTTCTTTCAGCTGTGCCTTTTAACATACTATTTGGAATTGAGCAGTAAATATTCAGGGCCAGTAAAAGCTCAGTTGGGACATTGCTCATATCCCCCAGCTTATTAATAAGTACCTGTATTAATTCTGTGTGTCAAAGAGTTGGGCAGGCAGCTCTGTGTCCTTCCCCTGCAGCCTGTGCATCCATGTGGGGACAGATTGTTAGCTGCTCCTTCATAACCCACTGCAGAATTAAAGTATCCTAATATTTCTGAAAACACAAACAGTATTTCTCCTTGAAATAAATGAGCCTCTTATTTGGTTCACAGACACAAGTCCAAGGGAAGAAAACTGAACAGAGCAGTAGTAGCTTTTCTGTGTGTAAGCAAACACTGCTCTTATTGTCTCAGCAATCTGCTGTCAGTACTTTAAAGAAATATCGTGCTGCTGGCACTCCCTTCAAAGCAGCTTTCATTTCTTGTAAGCCATAAACCAGTGCTGATAAGGACTGAATTGAGGTCAGTAATGGGCCTGAGCACTGCAAGCACTGATCCACCTGTCAGGTGGGTGTGTAGTTCTGGTAGTGCAGATGAGTGCACAAAGCTAATGGAAAAAGCAGTGGGAATTTTATCTCCTTCACCAGGAAGTTTGCATAAAGCTTTTGCGTAATCACTGGATTTTGACGGGAATAACTCTTGCTACACTGCTTTTTCTGGAAGATTGCACTTTTTATTTGGGCATGATTCCAAAATGTCTCTCAACTACTAACAGGATGTCTCTCAGCTGCAAAGGAAGAAAAGTCACAGGAGCAAAGTACAGCTGAGTATTTTAACAAGTGGATACAAGTGCTATACTTCCTTCTTTTCTGTTATTCTATAGGCTAATTAGTGTCCACATGGATAACTTGTTTTTGTTGTGAATAACTGTGGTTTTGTTCCAATGTCCTAGGTCCCAGTGGAGCAGTTCAAACCATCAGATGTTGAAATACAGGCATGTTTCCGTCATGAAAACATTGCTGAATTATATGGCGCTATTTTGTGGGATGAGACAATCCATCTCTTCATGGAAGCTGGAGAGGGAGGATCTGTCATGGAAAAGCTGGAGAGCTGTGGGCCTATGAGAGAGTTTGAAATAATTTGGGTGACAAAGCATATTCTGAAAGGACTTGACTTTCTCCACTCGAAGAGGATTATCCACCATGATATCAAACGTACGTCTGTGGGGTTCCTTGGGATGCTTTCTGCTCCTGGCTGGGCTGGGGCCTGGGGGAAGAGTCCCTGGGACTGAGCTGGGGCACATAGCCCTTCATCCCTGAGTGGGAGGGATGGATAATGCCTAACAAATGGCCAGGCCAGGTTCTGGAGGTAATAGTTACTTACACTATTTATTAATTCACTCCAGCAGAGACGGTAATTAGAAAGTCGTAGATCCTATGCCATTATGAGCAACTCAATTTAAATAAAAACCTAAAGAGTGAAGTTATCAGTCTGTGTTCAGCTGGAAGTTTCCTGCTCTTAATATAAATTCATCCTGAATGTTTCCATGCTCACCTTCATCTTGCACCTTCTGTTAGGTTTCACATTTCTATGCTGCTGTTCCTCAGTCTGAGACACTTTAGAAGTAAATACATAATTTGTGCTGGTTTTTTTCTTTCAACAAGTACAGAAAATTTTAATATATGTTTGCTATTTAAAAACTCTGGATATTACATCTATAAATAATCAAACACATTGATATTAAGTCCAAATTAAATACACTGGTATTGAAATGCTTTAAAATTCAATTTTAATATGTTGCATAAGTAATGCAACACATTTAAATTAGTATTAAGTGCTGTTTCTCCCAGTACCATCTTGGCCCGCAGATAGATGCATCTCTGTGAGTTTATTTAGCTAAACTTGAGGGTTTAAAGTAGAAATATTCAGACTGAAGCATTCCAATAGTTCACAGAAGAAGATTATTAGAATTTGCTAAATTTTTATCTCAGTTTTGCATTTTTGGGTTTTTTAATTTAGTATGGGCCAGTACTTTAGATGTAAGCCTTTGAGGTTCTGACAGCTACAAAATTACTTATTTTTCCCCTTAATTTTTCTATCTCATTTGCAGTAAGAGTCTTTCTTATGGGTTTATCTTAATTGACAGTAACAAAGACATTAATTAAACAATCTAAAATCCAAAGCAGCCCAAAGCCTACTACATCTAGGTAGTGAACAGGAGAACCAGCCCATTGTGAATGTGGTGGATATGAGTGTATTTCACTTTTTCCAGCCTTTCCCCATGTTGGTGGATGCAGGGCAGATGATGAGGCAGAGGTTGCCTGGGGCAGATGTGGTTGCCCAGAGGTGCCTGGGGTGAGCCCTGGCCATGCTCCTGCCAGTTTGGTGCCAGGGTGAGCTGGGTACACCAGGTCTGAGGTGGAGCCATGTCCACTGCCTGGCAAGGCAGCCTCCATGCAGGGAGCAGTGTGTGTTTTCCCTCCCCAGGTAGAATTAATAGAAAAGACTCTTTCCCAAAACCTCAGATTTTTTCCTCACTCCATCTGCTGCTTTTGAGCTGCAGTTGAGTCTGTTCTGCTGATACAGAAGATGGGGATTTTATTGAGAGTAAAAAATTCCCTGAACAAGGAAGGGGAGGAAGACATTCTGGTTCCTGGGAGGTGTTCAGTGCTGCCTCTCCTTTTAACCCTTGGCTGGAGAGCAGTGAAACCATCAGGCTGTTTGGTTGAGGGAGCTTCAGTCCAAAATCAGCTGCAGCTGGGGCTGAGTATGGTCCCAGGGTATGGTCCCACTGCACTGTGGCAGTGTGGCCCTTTGGATGATCTATTATGGGACATTTCAAATCCATATCTTCAAAGTTATCCCTAAAATGACAGATTTACGCAGTCTATAGCACTGGTAAGGAGGCAGCTGTGTGAAGCATTGCTCCAGGAATCAGAACTGCTGAAATCAAGTCTGCCCTCCCACTGGGTGGTCATGGTAGGCACTATCAAGACAGAAAATGGCCCACAGTTTCCTGTAAGGGAAATGTGTTTCTGTTGTGTAACTTGGAGACTTCATTTTACCACATCTTCTGAAACAGCAAACAAGAATTTCTCAAGGCTCACACTGAGCACTACATTCTTAAATATTTGATCAGAATTGCAGCTGCAAACAAAGCCTCTGAGTACAAAGTTGTGCCTTAGGCAGAATTTTATGAAGGAAAGTAAATTAAGCTCCTAGATACTGCTGCAGTTCTGAGGGAGTTTGAGATGCTCAGTCTTCTATTAATTTTACAGCCATTGTCTGTCCTCTGTTGTCATGCTGAGCTGCTCTCACGGACCAGTGCAGGTGACTGGTGTGGCTGCTATGGAGGGGCCCTGGTTACTCTCTGTTTACAGTCTTCACCTAAATTGTTACTCTAGAAAAACTTCTTGGTGTGCAACAGTTGTGCTGTTTCTAGCCAGAGCTGCACAGCATGATCTCCACCTTGGAGACCCTTAAACATCTTCAGACCACTGTGCTGTGGTGCCTACCAGTCTTCTGCCTTCCTCCTCTACCCTCAGCTGTTTTCTCTCTTTGTCTTTTTTTAAATTTTAAGCTAAGAAAATGACAAAACATTGGCTCTTTTACATAAACCAGACCAGTTTGTTTTTAAGATACAATTTAAAATCCTACCAAATCATTACCAGACCTATTTTGGCTAGAGGGATATTGGCTGTAGAGAGTGGTTGTGCTAATTTCTCTCCCTTTTCAGGCAGGCATCTGAGTGAAACAGGAGTGTTGTAAAATAAATACCAAACATGCCAGACACTTAAATGATGTAATTTTTGGTTTTCTTTTAGCGAGCAACATTGTCTTTATGTCAACTAAGGCTGTTTTGGTGGATTTTGGCCTAAGTGTTCAAATGACTGAAGACATTTACTATCCCAAAGATCTTAGAGGAACAGAGGTAAGAAGATGAAGGGACAAAAGCCCTTTTATTGCATTAGTCCTATGGTTGTGGTATTTAGACTCAAATTTGAAGCTGGAGGGCTAGAAGCATGGGTAAAATAGTTACTATAAAACCTATAAAAAACTTGCAAATATTAATAGAGTCTCAATTATATTTTTATTTTCAACTTGCTGAAGGGAATGCTTTGAAAGCCATGTCATTTTCTCTGCAGTCTCAATTGTTAGCAGTTGTTCACTGAAGTCAAACAGTACTCTGAGGAGGGTTGTTTGCAGTGTTTCAGCTGCTGATCAGAGACACTTCAAACAAGAATTTGTTCTTTGCTCTAGCAAAGATTTCTTCTGAGATACTCACTATGGACTGGGGTGACCTGTTCAGCACCGTACTTGGATTCCTTCTCCTTCAAAACCACAGAACTTACAGATGTCTGGGTTTCATCTCTTAGCCCTTCTAAGCTCTGTTCCCCATCTACATGTAACCCTTTGGTTCTTCAGAGGTTGTGCATGGCAAGGTTCATGATTATCTGGTAAAATTGCTTAGACATTACAGTGATGGAGGTGGGGTCCTTTTAAATGGTCTCAGTGACTTTTTGATTCTGCACACCCCTTGGGCTGCATTCCTGCAGAGGTGTTTCCAGGGCTGGAGTTTTAGCAAACAACCAAGCAACAACAATTAGCTTGGACAGCTGCTGCAGATGTGGCATTTGTGCTCTCTGTTGCTGGAGGAGATTGTTTACAGGAAATGCTTTAGTGGAGATGTTTGCACTTACCCTTTTAATAGCCTTCCACATGTGTAAAGAGGAAATCCCTGTGTAACTGACAAAAAACATTTCACTTTTTAGAAGGGGAGGATAAATCAAGCTTTCACAGAAGGTCAGGTTTGTTTGTTTATTTTTTTTCAAGATGATTGAGAAAGCACTTGAATATTTGTTTTCACTACCTTTCTAGTCAGGGCAGTTAAGAGCTTAAAATGCTTGCTGAACTGGAAGCAGCCTGCTTTCTGGCACTTCATGCATGAACCTTGTGGGGTTTTTACTTTGGTTTGAGGCTTTTTGTTTATTCAAGGGGGTTTTGTGTGCTGTTAATAAGAACAGTGGTGGGTATGAGTCGGTAGGGTATTTCCCAGTGATGGAGATGTGTGTAAACAGGACGTTTCCATGATTGTGGAGCAGACTAGTGAGGATCCACTTCTGGGTCTTGAAGGACAGGCCAAGGCTGTGTTAGTAAGAACAAGTGGAAAGTGAAAACATTTCAGTGTTTGCCAAGTGAAAAACCACTTAGCTTTTCATTTCATAGGAGGAGAATTCCATGCACTTAAACACCTGCAGTCCTGTTCTCAGAGAGCTGATAATCCCTCTAACCCTGAAATACAGCCATGTTTGGTGTTTGCTGTCTCAGGGGAGTAGCAGTCCTGCTGCAGCCTTGCAGCCAGAAATGAGGCTGGAAAGACACTGGGGAAGGAGATTTTCAGATACCAGTGAAAGACTTGCAGCTAATGTTTCTAATGCTTCTGTAGGTTTTTCTGCTCACAGTCTTCATTCTAGGCATCTTCCTCTCCACAGTGCTTAATCCTGTCCCCCACAAATGCCCTCTATAGTCTGGCTTTCTTGATTATTTTTTTTTTTCAAAGTAAGATCTAACTCTCCAAAGTCCTCTTGAGTTTTGCACCCTGTATTATGCAGCCTTATGAAGTGGTGCTATTGTCCTGCTGTTCCTGCATGTAATTGTGCAACCCCTGGCTGGGGCTCTGTCACTGCCAAGCAGCATTGTGCCAGTGAGCTGGCTGGTTTCTCTTACATCTGCTATTGGCAGGGACTTGTGTCCTTGAGGGAAGTGGCAGGTGGAGTAACCTTTGTCCTGTGCACGTTCTCTGGGAGTTAGGGTTTCTATTCACTTCTATAGCACAGGAAGTCTGAATGTAGTGAATCTTCTTTGTGTTTATAAAACATGAGTAGTTACAATTCTGGGCAAGGGGATTGAAAGATAGTTAAATTTTGTTTAGATGGTGTAGTGTGAAAAAAACTGGTGCTCCTGCTTTTGTGTACAAGTCATGCAGAACATTATTAAACTGTGGTTGTTATGAAACTGCTCTGCAGGAAATACTTTTCCTAGGCCGTTGCTACACTTTCTGTTATGCTTCTGTCACTTTGTTAAAATATGTAAGCTTCAGTTACAACCATTTGAGGGTAAAAAGTTGTCTGCTAAAGTTTATTGAATGTGGAAGGTATGATTTTCAGGAATGCTAAACTAAAACTAGTGCAGCATGGAGAAAGAACTGGTTTTTAGCTGGGCTGTGACTGGTCTGACTGGCAGGCAAGTGCCAGCCCACCAGTCAGAAGGAATGAGAATGGGAAGTTATTAATGGCTTGAGCTGTCTGCTTTGGTGACAGCAGACTTTAGACCAGTCTGAAATTAGAGCTTTGGAGCTCATTTTTGATTTTTGTCACTGTGCAGTCAAGGTGCATCTTGAGCATTTTCTCACCTTGACTGCAGACAGGATCTTGTTCCAGCATTCTTTTTTGAAGGCAGCTGCTTCTTGCTTATGTAGATTTCACTCAAGTTGCACTGCATTTTCCAAAGGCTTCTTTTTACAAAATAAGAACTTCTGTTCTTTTCTCCTTACGAGACTTAAAGGTGGAGGGTGCAGATGCACTGATTCTCTTGTAGCCCTGAGGAAAGCAATGGATAAGTCAGTAGCAGCTGCAGACACCTGCTGAGGCTTTGCACACACTTCCAATCACAAGTTCTATTTGCAGATAGGGAATGCCATTTACTGGGAATTTTCCCCTAGAACTGGTGAGCCCTACAGCCGTTCTCAATCTGTGGTAATAAGCAGTCAAACCATGTGGTGATGACTTAACTTCCTGCCCTTGTGTCAGTTAATGGCTTTTAATGTGATTCTTTGTGTCAGGATGACTTGAACTAATTAAAGTTTGTTTAAATCCTTTAGAGGGAAATTGGCTGAGGGAAAAGTAGGAACCAGAAGCAAATGTGGTAGCTTGCTAACCCGGTGTGCTGTGGGCTGTGCCCATGAGGTGTTGAAACCTGCTCCCCAGGCCAGTGGCAGTGGCAGAGCTGTGCAGGGTGTGCCTCCTGCATCCTGCCTGTCGGGTTCTCCTCCAGCTGCGCTCTGAGCTGCCTGTTGCTGGCAGAAGCTTCCAAGATCCTTCTTTAGACTCTTGGCAAATTCAAATGTTCAGTGAAATGTTTGGATAGAAACTGTTTTGATTTCCACCAAGAAAGGTTAGAATTTTTGGTTTGGAAAAAGGTTAGAAGGGGGATTCTTGTCTTCCTAGGTGCTCTGGGGTAATCTGGTGCGAAGAGCACCTAACTTTTAATTTATGCATTGCCTAGACCTGGCTTGTTCCTCATCATCCCATGTCTCAGGATAATGCTCCATTGTGCAGGTTAGTGGAAAAGGAGGAGGAGTAAAGAAGACAGGAAGGCATATATCTGTCAGTTCTGCTCAGAAGGGTTGTGTAGAATTCTGTGTAACAGGGAGCTGAGGGGAGGACTCCTACCCCCATGTGGGTGGCTGTCAGTACAGTTCACCCTCTCTCTTTAGCTCATGCCCAGCCATTGTTCAAGCAGGATGGAGCTGTCTCAGCAGTGCCCCACAAAACAAACTGGCAATTCAGGCACCTCTTGCTGTGGAGGGATGAGGCTACTGCTACTCATCTGAACAAGGCAGAGCCATGGCTTGAACCTCATCCTCTCACAGTTCAGCTGAGGCCCATAGCCACTGACCTATGGCCTGTCTGAGGAGGCCAAACCTGGAATATGAGTTTGTCCAGGTACTGTCACTTTGTTCTGCTCTGCATATGAGTACAGCCAGTCTTATTTCCCAAATGGTTCTTGCAGGTTCACTACTATGCATCCCTTCAGAGCGGGGTTTCCAGCATCACAAAATACCATTGAGTCATCTTTGGTTGTTGTTTTCCCCTGTTGAGTAATCTTTTATTTTTTTTTACTATTTTTCACAGATTTACATGAGCCCTGAAGTTATTCTTTGCAGAGGTCACACAACAAAAGCAGACATCTACAGCATGGGAGCTACTATTATTCATATGCAAACAGGCATCCCACCCTGGGTGAACAGATACCCTCGTTCTGCATACCCCTCCTACCTCTACATTGTGAGTGCCCTTAGCAGAGCCAGCTCACCACTATCAGCTGCAGGGCTTCCTGTAGTCTTGTTGAGAAAACTCCAGTTGTATAAAAACTATCAAAATATTTGTCAGAGAGATGATATCACCCTTTTTGCTTCAGGGGTGGGAGGGAGGGAGAGAAGAAGTGGGTTTTGATCTCTTAGGGGAAGACAGAGACTGAGCTGGAGTTGTCTCTTTGATTTGTATTTCAATTTACAGTCCTTGGGTTTACTGGAAGGACAGGGTTAGATCACTGTGAGACTTGATTGAAACAAGCCCATCTGTCTTCAACTTGGCTGTTTTCCTTAGAAGTTGCAGATAAAAACTGGAGCCTGGCAGATTTGATTCTCTGACTCTTCCAGTGTGGTATAGAAATCTGGTGAATTTGCATTGCACTGGATTTTAGGCTTACTTGAAGTTTCTTTGAGTTTTTAAATTTATTATAAAATCTGATTTTTAAAAAGTGGGTGTTGTGTAGTTGCATGTTCTGTTCTAGTTGATCAGCCCTACTTAGGGAGGTGATGAGTCCTAATTGGGGAATTTCCAGACCACTCATGTGGTTATCCATGACTTCCTCTTTCACTGTTTTTGGAATAACTGTTTCCATGGTCTTTTTTCATTCCAACAGATACACAAGCAAGCTCCCCCTTTGGAGGATATTGCTGAGGACTGCAGCACTTCCATGAGGGAGTTGCTAGAAGCAGCTCTGGACAGGAACCCTAACCACAGGCTGTCTGCAGCAGACCTGCTGAAGCACGAGGCCTTGCACCCACCCCCGGAGGAGCAGCCGCGGTGCCAGAGCCTGGACTCAGCGCTCTTTGAAAGGAAAAGGCTGCTCGCCAGGAAGGATCTGCAGCTGCCAGAAAATATCACAGGTAATGGGATCACCTGCCTTGCACTTTGTAGACTTTACTTTGTGTCAAATCTTGATTTGAGTGAGTGGTAAGGAGCCAACGAAACTCTCAGCACATCTGGAAAGTGACCAGTGAAAATCCCAGTCGGATGAGATCAGACCCTGAGGTCATGAAGGGATCTGTAAAACGCCCATTGACCAGTGGGGAGGAACCTAGCCTGACTTCTGTGAGCTCCTGAAGGACTAGCTCTTGGAAAAGCCATGGCAATCATTCAGGGCACTGCATGAAGTATAGATTGCTGTCCCCAGTGGACTCAATTTGACACTGTACTGGAGATGTTTTATGGACCCTTGATTTGTAAGCAATGACAAAGTCCAACAACCACCAACAAATCCAACACTTTTTGCCTTTTTAAGGAAAAACACACACACAAAACCATAACTAATGTTGCTGAGTGTCAGCAGTACAAGCCCTTTGTTTTAAAACTAAAAATGACTGTGGGATAGAATGCTGTTACCCTTGTGCATTAGTCAGTGCTTAATGAAGGATACTACACAAACTAGGTAGGAAATAGCCCTTTCAAGCCCAAGTGAGATTTAGTGCCAACAGGCTTCAAAATGCTTTTCTTCTACTTACTTAATACATTAGGAGGGTTCTGGCAAGAGGCATTGAAAGGCTCTTCCCAGACAAGTGGTTCATTTAATTGGAATAAATATTTCAAAAGATATCTGTGCAAAATTTTGGGTACTGTAATGCATAATTGTTGCAACAAATTCACTGAAAAAAATCAGTCGCAGTTTTTGAATTTAGAATGGCATTGTACCTTCTGGATTTTGCCTTGGGGATGCACAATCCTTTGACCAGCTCAGACCATCTGAATCAATTCTTTTGAAAATGAAGAGAATATTGGATCAATAAACTTGGACTTTATTATAGGTGCTTGAGTCTCGAAGACACTCATTATACAAGTATTCAGGGGAATTCTGCCATTGCAAACCCAATCTGTCTTTTTAGACCTTGATTTAAAAAGAATAAAAAATCTGAAACGGATGGTGCTGTATTTGTTCTCTACTGTCACATCCAGACAAAGATGATGTCCTGTGTTTAGATAAAAATTTCCCTCTGAGGAAGCAGAATTCTCAGATGGCAGAAAGTTTGCACCAAACTCTCCTTTAGCACTATAGCTTACAGGATGAGAAAGCTCTGCCTAACTGTCCCAGCTGATGGAGACCTTTTTTTTTAAGTAGTTGAACACACTGTTTGCAGTTGCAAACTGCTTCTCTTTCTTTGTTCTAGAGCTGTGGGTTGGCTTGTTAGAGTTTATTTTATTTGAGATTTGACTTATGTTGTACTGAAAATTTTTCTAAGCCACATATTAATAAGATCAAATAACAGGCAAAATATTCCAGTAGTACTGACAAATACGAAAATGGACTGATACAGCTATTTTTACAGTAATTACATGGTTTCTCTATTTTCTTTTTAGATTCCTCTTTGTGTAATGGGAGCATGGAAGAGTCAGACCTGCTAAAGAGACAAAGATCTCTCTACATAGACCTTGGAGCTCTAGCTGGTTACTTCAATATTGTTAGGGGACCACCAGCCTTAGAATATGACTGACTCAGTAACATTTTATGTTGATGAGTCAGAAATGGACCTCTACCTCTTCAAACTTGGTTTTAAGACTTGATTTTCCAACTTGTACATAAAACTATTGCCCTTATAGGCTGTCAAATGTGAATAGTGTTTAATTGCACAGATGATTAAGCTAAACCCTTAGGGGGTCTGATAAGCTGATCCCAAGGAGAGATGTTTGTGTGTCTGCTGGTTGACCAACAAGAAGATGGCGAAAAGAACACTGCTGCTGGGAATGTCTTAATCCAGGATATCTTCCTGTGCTGGGCCTTGCACTTTTGTAAAACTTGTATTATATGCTTGCAAATAATGTCAGGAAAAAATATAATATAATTTAGCATGTGGGCTGTAAGATTCAGTCTCTCTGAGCTGTCCTTAGAAAAAACATTCCTGCCACCCCCTATCCCCCCCAAAAAAAAGGAAAAAAGAAGTCCTTGTTTTGACCAGTTAAATACTGGTTCAGTCTTTTTTTGTATTTAAGACTTGGTCATTCTTGGTCTTTAAGATTTGGTCAGCCTCTAGGCATTCTTAATGAAAATTAAGAATGTCTGTAGGGTCAGGTTATCACTTGTTTGCAGATGTGTTTTAACTTTGCATCTTGCCTGGACAGTGGGAGCTAAGAAGGAGGCTGTCCCCTTCTCTGTGGGTCAAGGGAATCTTTCCCTGGCAGTATCAGTCAGCTTTGGGATTTGCACAAGTTACCCTGGCAAAGTATGAGAGTGACTTCCTTACTATGTTACAACTACTGCAAGGGTATCTATGATAGTTTTCAAGGGTAGATCAAATGTTAATGCTCTATTGGTAACAGTGGGCAGGCTCCTAACTCTTGCTTTTTAATACTTTAAAATTGTACACTTGTAAAATTGCTGTGAGTGCTATGGTTTGGAAAGCGTGTCATTAGTGACAAGCAGTGTTTATGTTCCTATGGAAATGGAATTATATTGTTCTTGCTGTGCCTCATACATTTGAAACATGATGTTTTGGATGATAGTAAAACTATGTAAACTGCATAGTTCTGTACATCCCATGGGATGAGAACGTAAACTTTTATAAAACTCTTTCTGATGCTTAGGATGACTCTTTATAAGCATTTGTGTTAAATGGCATACTGTGTATGTTGTACACTGAATCTTTTCTGAAGCACAGTCTCTTTTTCATGTCTGTTATTTAATGCTGCTCCTCTCTAACACATGGTCTTAAACACATGATTTCTAGTTTGATACTGATATGGTCAAGTGAATAAATTCAGCTCAGTGCCTTGAGATGTGGTCATTGTTCCTTCACCTTCAAACACAGCATGGGGCTGCAGCTGCAATTGGGCCATGACCCCTACCATGGCCCAGGTACACTTCAGGCATCACCCCACTTGTTGGGAAGTAGGGTGAAGGTGATTGTTGGTGGATTTTGGACTCTGGTAATGGATGGTAAGTATTTCTGGCAGAATCTCCTTCTCACACCCCAACATTCCTTATGTATTGCCTGGATGATGCACAGTAGTTGTGTACAACATGGAGCACTTCAGTCCTGATGTTAATTGCTGCCAAAAATGCTGTTGGGAATAACCCACTTGCTCTAGTGCTTGGTGCAAAATCTCTAGATAACAAGTTGCTTGGAGGAGAGCTGTGTGAGGAAGCCCTCTTAGTATTTATACTGACTGTAGTGATCAGGATATTCAGGAATCAGACTTTCCCTTGGCTAACTTAAGGAAAACATGACTGGTTTGGATAGCATAATGGTTTGGATGGTCACCTTTGGTTTCAGAGACCTGTGTTCAATTTCATGATCTTTTACTGATAGCTTTTGATCTTTAAGGAGATTAATAGAATTGGTAGGAAGCAGCTTTTCACATAACTGGGGGTGGGTTTATAATCTCTCCCCCAGTTTCCCTTCTATAAAATTAAGGTGTTTATTCTCACTAGACAATGGCATGGGGTTATGCAAATGCTTTTCAAATGCCTGTCTACTTCAACAATGAGATCATGTCAAAATTGCAGCCTGCTAGTGGTCTTTTACCTTTGCTTTAAAAAAAGCTACACTGACTTCTATTTTTTTCTGTAATGCCATTCTCCTTTCCCCCACCCAGTTAAATGTTTCAGCATGGAAATCTGCAACTGGAGACACTATTTAATAGAGGGTCACTATTTCATATTTGGGTTTATTTCTGGCTGTTATATAGCTTCATACTAAGAAAGTAGTAAGTGACCACGTTATCCAAAATAATTACAGTGTGTGTATTGCCAGACATAAGTAATAGGGTTTGGCTGGGTGAACCAATAGCTCTTTACAGATACATCCACATGTCTGAACAGTACGAGGGCTTCAGGATAATTATCACTTCAGAGGACTGGTACACAACCAACAAGCAGCTGTTCAGGTATGCTGAACACCAAGCATTGCTTCCAGCTCTGTCAGCTTTCTAATAGCTGGGGACTGTTTCTCAGGTGAGCCTTAGGCTGCAGCATAGCAGGAATTTCTCTCTGGAGCAATACATCACATCCCAAACATCCCACATCCCTCAAGCATATCCCACAGTAGTGATCCCTGTGTTGTGTCCACTTGTTTATACCAGCACCTGGAGAATGAGGTCAGGGAAATGAACTGGGTTAGAAATATCCTGGGAGGGGGAAGATTAATCCTCTAATCTGGTTGCCTGAGCAGCTGTGTACTCACAGCAGGTGAGGGGGAGGGAATGAAAATGGATGGTGGGAAAACCCTGTGCTAGTAGCACAAGTCCCAGGGTCTGGCTGGTCAGTGCTGAGCCATGGGATTTTGCAAAGGATTTGTCTCTGTTTATGTTGATTTTGGGTGTGTAGTTTCATTTTCTCTTGAGGGAATACTGAGACTCATGCTAAACTGCAAAGGAAAACACAAATGCAAGGGGAAACCCACTGCTCACAATAACTGATTGGGCTGGTTTTGGTTGGGGTAGAGATAATTTTCTTCACAGTAACCAGCTCAGAGCTGTTTCAGCATTGTGCTGGGAATGGTGTTGATAACAAGGGATGTTTCTGTTATTGCTGAGTGGGGCTCACAGTGTCAAGTCCTTTTCTGCTTCTCTCACTGTCTTGCCAGGGACAAGCAGGAGTTGGGGGTGCAGCAGGAGCTGGGAGGGGACACAACTGGGACATCCCTCCTGCCCCAAGGGATATTCCAGGCCATGCAATGTCAATCTCAGTGAATAAAGCTGGGGGAAGGAGGGGAAACATTCTCGGTGATGATGTTTGTCTTACCAAGTCACCATGACATATATAATGGAGCTCTGTTGTCCTGGAGATGTCTGAACACCTTTCAACCCATGGAAAGTGGTACATCAAATCCTCGTTTTGCTTTGCTCATGCGCACAGCATTTGTTTTACTCTTTGGGCTGTGTTCATCTAATCCATGAGTTTTCACACTTGTACCATTTCAGTTCTGTCCCTCATCCTGCCAGAACGGAGTGAGTATTTGGTTGCGTGCTGAGGGTAAATCACAACACTGATGAAATTAGGGAGTCAAATGTGCCTTTTATTCTCCTGGGCTTAGCTGGTTTCTTATCTCAGCTGTGACCCTGGGACTGAGATCACTGTGATGCTCCTCAGCAAGGCTTCCTGAGGTTTGGAAGTTTGACAGAAGCTGCAGGAGCAGTACAAAACAGTTTGCCAGCACTCCCTGTATGCAGAGCTGATGGGAATGGGGAAGAAGCCTCTGGCCATGGATTAGTCCCTTTGTTGGGACCTTGGGCAAATAGTGCATTGCTCTGGCTGATTGGCAGAAGCAAAGGAGCAGCTGGGGAAGAGTCACTGTGACCCTGCCACAGCTGGGAAGGCCAGATTGGCTGTCTGGGAAGGACTGGGACATAGGGAGATGCCTGGTGGTGTGCATGGCCAAAGCTGGGAATATTGGCATGGCTGGGAACAGCTTCCCTTGGGGCTGTACTAGCAGCTTCCAAGGCAGGCTCAGACACCATGAAGGCTTTTTTTGCTTCCTATGCTTTGCTTTGCATCCCATGCCCAGGGACTTTGCAAATTCCCAGCACAAGGGCACCAAATCACTGTTTGGAGCCCAAGCAACCTTTTCTATTCTTACAGGAAAGGGCCAGCAAGGTCCATTTCTAAAACTGTTACCATCTAAAGCTAACAAGTTGGGCAAGGTGAAAACAAGTCTTTATAAATTGTGCGCTGATCGAAATCAGCAACGCCCAAAAGAAATTCCAGCCAGACTTTGGGAGTGGCTGGTTCCAGTGCCATGGGTGCACCCTGCTGCTTCAGGCTGGTCACCAGACACAGCCATGCTGACAGATACTGGGGCGTGGTGACTCACCAGGAAGGAGGTGAGCTGCTGTGACAGCTCTGCTCACCTGCACCCACAGCTCCTGGCACGGCAGCAGCACGTGGCACCTGAGCACAGGGGCAGCTTGGCCACAGGGGCAGCCTGAGCGGGTCCAGGGGTGGGTGGGTGGGTCCAGAGGGGGGCTGTGAGGGGTATGATGCTCCCAGAGTGAGGTGTGCTGCAGAAAATCTGATCCTCATCAAAGCCACATGCAATGGCAGCCTCAAATCTGGTCTGGAGTGTGAACCCTGTTCCTGCAGGAGCCATTGCCAGAGGAGGGATGCTATCATGGTGTCCATGCACAGACCAGGCCCTACTTGCAGGCTGTGACATTAAGCATAGCTTTGTCTCTATGAAAAAGTCAAATAATTAGTGATGTTTGCAGAGTTTAAATCCTTCCTGGTGCTCATAGCAAGTCACATGCTGAAGTGTCATGCAGCCAAAGGAGGGTGAGAGATGGAAATGAGAGAAGGCAGGGAGGCACTCCACGAGGTCTGTGTGCAGCCCAGAAGGACAGGGTGGCAGGAAGGTGTCCTTCAAACCTCCAGAGGTGAAGAGCCACACAGTCAGTGCTCAGCCCAGGGCCTTATCAAGGCTGCTGGCAGTGCAAAGGGTTGCCTTCTTCTCTGTCTCTCACAGTAAGCCAAGGTCAACTTCTCTCCCCCTTCCCTAATTGT